AAAAAAAAAAAAAAAAAAAATGTACAAAATGCTTCTTTTTACAGATACGAGGGATGATTTTTTGAAATGAACGCTGTATCTTTCTCTTCTCTCTTTATCGTCTAGTTGTATTTCGCTCGTAATAATAACAACGCCTAATCATCTAAATATCACGCTGGTGTGCAACGCCCGCCCAATTACTCGCGAACGATGGGTATTAAAATTTATTATTTGAAATTACATGTTACAGATCAAACTACGTTTTACTTGTTCTTCGCGATATTGCAGTATACGAAGATCGTAGGCCCAACGAATTTCACTTTGATATTTATCTCTCTGAAATTCCCATTGCGATCTTTGTATTTCCAACTGTTTACGTTGTAGTTCTAATTCTGCAAATTTTCTCGACGCCTTTTTGTGTAATCTATCTTCTTCCGACATTTTATTTATCAAGTAACACTCGGAGTGTTTGTGACCGTTTTCTTTCGAACAATATGTACGTTCTTGAGGTGTGGCTGTACAAAATTTTTAAAAATATCTTAAAAACTAGTTGTACAATCTCGTCTAACGTACGATTTATACGACTATATAACTTTGTAATAAATTATTTCTCTTCCAAATTACCGGGTGCTGCGGTTGGAGTATCATTTTCACTCGTTTTCTTGTTCCAAGTGGCAGAATTTTCATCTGTAATCTCATTGTTTCCACCACGATTTTCTACCATGATTGTACTATTTTCACTCGTGTAATTCTGTTGGTTATCGCGTCCTAATAAATCCATGTTTTGTTGTACCGCGTTCAGTTTTTCGATTAAATATAACTGGGCCATCGGATTCTCTAAACTTAAATTGTCGAATATTTGTTCCTTGTTACTTTCATCGGTCATTATTCACATTGCGTTACACTTACGTTACGTCAAGGTTATTAACTTTCCGTTTCCTACTGTGTATCCCGAGCCACTGTGTATTTATGTTGTGCCACTTGTTTAAATTGTTGCCTGACATCTTTTGGACACTTTCGGTATCTTTCCACAGTGAGGACGTTTCGTACGAGTGACAGTTTAAAAACGTATTCGTACGACTGATTGCAAAAAAAATTTACAAAATATAATCGCTCCACGTACCGTCCGCATCTTTTTATCACGGTAATTCTTTTATCCGCGCAATTCTTTGTTTCAACTTTCACGATATACCTATATATATATATATATATACCAGAGACTAGAAATGTACCATTTCTGTCTAAATTGTCAAGTAGTTAACAATCGGTAGTCTTTGTTTCGCGTGTGAATCTCAACTTTAGGAATCCGCATCTCGGTTTATTATGCCATTTATTATGCCATTTTGTTACAAATATCACAGCTCGAGATTCGGATTCAAACTTGGTCAAAACTAATTTATAAGCGTCTCTTGCGCGTCTTGCAATTTATAATGTACTTCTTTTTTTAGATATTTTTCAACGACGAACGACGTGATTATTACACTCGACAGTGACTCGACGCGATGCCGCGAAGAATAAATCGTAAAGTTCCACTTTGCTTCGCCTTGAAATTCCCCCCATTAGGTGCACCACCGAGTAACGTGCTCTTTCGTACCAAATTTGTAAAAAAACGTTTCTTCCGTCGATTTTGCGAGATATACGTGCGTATAAGGATATATTCTGCGTGTACGTTTCTATTCTATTCTGTTAAATCTTTGTGAAATTTTGTAACTTCACATTTTGCTATTGAAAATTTAACGACGCTGCGATGGATTTTCGACGGTTTTGCTTGACGTATGAATGAAAAGTTTTTTTTTACAGACTGACTGACGTTAACGTTGTTGGATATTGCATACGTAAGAATCTCATGCTACGTACATTGGTATGATTTAGTAAATGAATGTACTAAATTTCACATAGACTATTAACGACTATTGACGAGTCGCTCACTGATTTTGCACGTGGGTTTTCAACGACGTTTTCACGATCATCCACGATCGAGCCAACAGCGTGCAGCTGTCGAGTATCTTGCGTCCACGTTTGTTGCACAACCGCACAACCAAGTCAGTCCAGAGATAAAAAGCTTCTTCGTCACCTCCGGCAGACAACCAAGCAAGTACATTTTACTCGTTGTTGCGATACAAAGTTTCGAACAATTACGTACAATGTATACGATGTACAAATAGTATACGGTACACGTATATATAATATAAATATTACGTGCAGCGTGATAGATGATACCGGTACGTGGAATAATTATATCTGGAACGATTACTGAAAGAAGCGTTAGATTTTTCTTTTTTGCACGATACAACGAAATCACGATTTCTTCTCTTCTCTATTTATTATTATCTCGTGAATGATACGGAACGTTTTGACGCGTTTGGATGAGAATAATGACCTGATTCGAATATCTGTGTTATAATTTGGGATTATATTTGTATATTAAAAACTGTATGAATCATTGTATTTATATATTATACGTTCGTGTATGTTATGTTGTAGTTATACATTCCACGTTACAAGTATCGTGCAACTTGTAGAATATTGTACTCTTATATTCGCGTAATATAAATTAAGCAGTTAAGTTTCGAGTTAAGATTTTACATTTGCAATTATTCCTGCTGCTGCTATGTTACAGTTACTTGATAATTAGTAATATTCCAATGATTATTTGAATTCAATGATTCTCGATTCATACCTTTGAATATTCGTACTTTTTTTCTATTTGACTTTTTAATCATTTATTCGATGATTTTAGACATTATCGTTTTGCATCGATGCGACTCTAGTGTTTATCTCGCGTTGCGTTGTACGATTTTATCTTTACTTTACGTTGGTCGAAGTATAATTAGTGTACGTTACTGCAAGATACTACTGGAGCTACAACGTGCTGGTTTACGCGCTTTTGATTTCTACGTCTTCGTTCTATCGCTTTGTGTTTCCTATTGAACTAAAGTATGACGTCCCATCTTCGTTCCTACTGCAGCGCGTCCCACCACGTTTATAATTTACACGTATATAATTATCTAGTACGTTTTGATTAACAATGATAAAACTTGTCGCGATACGTTCTGCAACCATGTGGAAATGGATCAATTGTTTAAAAAAGGTACCAACATATTGGTAATGAAAAATATAGTACCGAGTTTCTATCAAATACAAACGTTGTTTTAGAAAATTTAACGTTGGCTGTTAAATATCGAGCACAGAGTACCGAATACGTATTGAAATAGAATCTAAATTATGCATTTAGAATTAGAATTTGAAATTTCCACGATTAACTGCGATTAACTATGATCGTACACTGTGTGACGTCTTTAGGTTAGGTAACCTAAATACAGATACCGACGATAGATAAAGTATCGTGAATGCTTGAATTATACGCCATGTATTTTTGTTGCGATATATCGAATTCGTTCGTTCGAAATTTTATTTTACTTGTGTGCATATTTGTATGTGCATATATGAATTGTGTTTTACGCTAAATTCGTTCGTACTTTTCGCCAATTGTTATTTCGCTATTTTTATCGTTTCTACAGTTTCAGACGAATTGATCGTACATCGTTACCTTCAAGTTGCGATACTTGGTAAAGTGTAAACGTGCTTCGAACAATTATCATAACAATCGTATAAAGTCGTTTGTGTTTTTGTGAATTTAGAATATTTAGGAATGGTCAGTTTATATATTTTCGAAAGAATTATCGCGAAAGAACGTCACTGTCCGCCTATAGTTTTACCACGCGTTCGTCGTTACTTTTCGACGTATTTATTATATATTTTTTGCACTTTCGCGTTAAAAGTTACGCCAGCGTAACTTCTCCTTGAATGAAAAGAGATTTCGCTGATTCGGCAAAGATCGATTTGAACGCGCGGCCGCGTAGCAAACATAACCTGCGCGTCCCGCGGCATTTGCAACGTGCACCGTCTGTTTCTCTGTTCGTGAACAAATTTTCACGTAAAATTTATATGTCAAATTTATATCAACGCGATTACGATCGTTGACTCTATATTTTAAAAGCAGTATATTTTCCTTTTAATTTCCCTTTAACCTGTATTTTCAACACATTTCGATAGAACATGAAATTAAAGAGCAATTTTTCAAATTCAATTCATTTTATCGTTTTCCTGTACGTAAGTAAGCATAATTTTCGTGCATATTTCTACATCAATTATATAATTTAACGAGTATCAATTTTATGTACTTTCTAAATATTTTACGTGTTGCATCCATAAACTCCACCGATAAGACGATTCGCGTCAATTTGAATTTTATAATGATATCGTCTTACTTGAACTTTTTATCAGCAAACAGACAAACTTATTTGCTGTAACTTGTTGTTATTAGCGTGTCTTGTTCTCTGTAGACAACAACCGGGAACAAGTACTCTCGCATACGCCTGTCAATAACTTGCAACATCGGAATTACTTTAATTATTCGTACTTTATTATTACGATCATTGTTTGCTTTCATTATACGTATACGTATGATATTCGTTCGAACGAATAACTTGCTTTGAAATAAGAAATAGTTCTTTTTCAATTTTTCTTTCTTTAGGAGGTCGTGAAAAGTCAGTCCCACGTCCGTATGCGTCCGATCCGTTGTTGATAGCTTTGAAAAATAGCTATATAAAAGTTCGTCGAACGAAGAAAAGATTGTGCAAATAGCAAA